CTGCCACCCCTGACCCACAGTCACCCCATCAGTCACCCCTGACCCACAGTCATCCCCTGCCACCCCTGACCCACAGTCACCCCCTGTCACCAGGGATGCTCCGAGGGGCCTGGCAGGGTGAGAGCAGCATCTGCACCCACAGATCTGGCCAGGGCTGGTGGTGAACTCTTCCAGAGACCTGCTGGGAGCCCAGCCAGGCCTGTCCAGCTCCCATCCTTGGCCTACTCCAGCACAGACGTGTGTCCAGAGGAGGGTGCTCCCATGTGCCTGTGGAGCCCACGGCTCCCTGTGGAATCTGGGATCTCCCTCCGGATCAAACAGCCTGTGCAGGACCAATCCCCAGCTCCTGTCCAGACCCATCAGTCACCACCCGACCCCGAGGGCCTCACTCACCTTCCCTGTCATCTTCTGGATCTCATTCCGGTAGAAAATCAAGCTCCTCCTCAAGAACTCGTAGCTGCAAGACAGGACCAGACCCTGCTGAGCAAAGGACGTGGGCAAGCTGCAGATGCCGTTTAGGGCTGGGGAGGGGGGAGCTGTTTTGGGAGGAGACAACCCCTGTGCTCCCGGGTTCCCCCAGGCTGATCCCAGAGCTCCTTCCCACGGCCCTTCCCACCTGGCTCGTTTGAGGGCCTCGACCCACTCCTGACACTGCTCCTCACTGGCACACTCGAAGCAGTATTTCCTCTCTGGCTCCTCGATGAAACCTGCCAGGAACAAGGAAAGGGCTCAGGGCAGGTCCTGGCAGAGCTGCCCCTGCTCCCCTGCCGGGCCACAATTAGCACCTCTGTTAACGAAGCCGAGCTGGGACCGGGCTGGTAATCCCAGTCACGGCCCCTCTCCTGTCCCTTCCCTGCTCTGGGTGCCCTGGAGCAGCTGCCCAGGCCACTTGTCAGCTTCCAGCAGCCAAAGAGCTCGGGAAGAGCAACTTCCCAACGTGAGAGCAACTGAACTGGACCAGACCTGGGCCTGGAACTCCCTGAAGGCTCCTGGGGAAGCCTCCAGGGATTCAAACCAAAGTGAAAGCCAGCCCTGAGGAAGGGCCTGGGATGCAGGCACAGAGCAGCCACTGAGGAGTCCAACTGCACTGGGAGAGGGCCATGAGCTGCCCTCATCCCACAGCAGCTGCTGGGGGGCTCAACACTTCCCTCAGGAATCCTCATCCCCCCACACACAGCCCCAGACCCCGAAACTCGGTGAGCCTGGAGCGCTGGGGCCGTTTTGGAGGGCCCTTTGGAGGCAGGGACAGCAGCAGGGAGGAGACACAGCTGTGCCCCTGCAGCCAGGCCAAGAGATACAGGGACGGCCTTGGAGGAACATCCTGTTGTTGTCAGCACGTGTGGGATGAAAGGCTCTCCCGGGGGACACGGATCCAGCTGGAGCCGCGGTATCGCCACAAGGACACGGAGCACGGCGGGAGGAGGGGCTGGATCAGCCCCACCGAGGCTTTATCTGAGCCCACTGAGAGAGGGAGGTGGATAAAATGCAGCAGCACAGCAGAGATCTGTCAATAAACCCCCCCCCCCCCCAAGGAGGGATTTCTGGCTGTTCTGCACGTGCAGCTGAGCAAATCCCACACCCTGGAGTGGCCCCGTGCTCGGGATGGGACGTGGCACAGGCAGGAAGAGCTGGCAGTGAGGGACAGAGCCACGGAATTGTTAAGGCTGGGAAGGATCTTTAAGGTTGTCAAACCCAACTATCAGCTCAGCACCACCATGGTCACCACTAAAGCACGTCCCCAAGAGCCACATCCACACGTTTTTTCGGACACTTCCAGGGATGGTGGCTCCACCTTGGGCAGCCTGAACACCCTTTCCATGAAAAAATTGTCCCTGATATTCAACCTAAACCTCCCCTGCGGCTGTTCCCTCTCGTCCTGTCGCTTGTTCCCTGGGAGGAGAGACCAAACCCCACCCGAGGAGCACTGACCCCAGCCAGGAGGGGCAGGGCTGGGCTGACCCCACAGTCACCAGAGCAGCAGGAACTGAGCAGCAAAACATCCCCTCTCACTCTGCCCCCGGGGGAAAGGGCCAGGGGCGATGCCCAGGCAGCACTCACTGATGGAGAAGACGTTCTCCTCCTCCTTGGTGATCCTGCAGTGCTCCAGCAGCAGAGCTCCAATGGGCTGCAAAACACACGGAGAGAGAGAGGGGTTTAACCCACAGTGCCCCCAGAACCGAACCCACAGCCCTTCCCTGCAGCCTCTCAGGCAAGTCTGACACCCTGGTGCTCCTCTGCAATAATTCACTCTGACTGCAGGACAATCCACCACCCTTTAATCACCTTTGTGTGCCTCCAGTGCCAGTCTGACCTGCAGCACTCTGCGGATATTAATCAGGTGTTAATCACCTCTGCCCCCCCCCCCCCCCCCCCCCCCCCCCCCCCCCCCCGGGCTTTTACAGCACAGAACTTCTGCTTCCCTGGAATATTCTCTGGGAGACACAGAACAAGCCCTGCTGTGCCTGCCTGGCAGCAGGAGGGTGTGGGGAGCTGGAACAGCTCCAGGGGGACACACAGACACCAGGAACTACCTCAGCCCTGAGCAAGGACAGCGGGGACGCGGCCTGGAACGAGAACAACCCACTGGGAATTGTTGTGCGAGTGACACAGCACGAGAGACCCGAATCAGGCAGCGGGGAAGGGCCTGAAATCCTCATCTGCTGCACATTCCACGGAATGTTTGGGCGGGAAGGACCTCAAAGCCCATCCAGGGCCACCCCTGCCACGGGCAGGGACACCTCCCACTATCCTGGGTTGCTCCTCTGATCCCCTGGGCACTTCCAGGGATGGGGCAGCCACAGCTGCTCTGGGAATTCCATCCCAGCCCCTCCCCACCCTCAGAGCCAGGAATTCCCATCCAAGCTGCCCTGTGGCAGCGGGAAGCCATTCCCTGTGTCCTGCCCCCATCCCTCTCCAGCTCTCCTGGAGCCCTGCTGAGCTAAGGAAAAGGGGACGCTGTCCCAGCAGAGTTTTCCCAGTCCCCACAACCAACCCACGGGAAAAAGAAGGAAGAGGGAGGGAATCAAAGCCCACCCAGGAGCACATTCCACACCTCGGCCTCGTCTGTCCTGAAGTAGAAGAGAAAGTTCACCACGAGCTTCACCAGGCGCTTCTTCAGCACTGCAAGGATGGTTCCATTAACATAAAATAAAAATAAACCAAAAATAGAAATAAAAGTAAGCTAAACCAAAAATAGAAATAATAGTGAACTAATAGTAAGCTAAAAATAAAATATAAATATATAATAAATAATAATAAATAAGTAAAAATAAAATAGTAAACTAAACCAAAAATAGAAATAAAAGTAAAATGAAATAAAAATAGAAATAAAAGTAAAATGAAAATAATATATAATATATATTTTATATACATAATATATATAATATAAAATAAAAAGTGAAAAATATAAATAACAGTAAAATAAAACCAAAGATTAAAATAAAAAATTTTTAAAATAAATTAAAAAATGAAAACAAAGATTAAAATAAAAACAAAAAATAAAACGAAAAATAAAATAAAGACAAGGATTAAAAAGAAAATAAAAATAAAAATAATTAAAAAAAGTTAAAATTAAAATAAAGATTAAAATAAAAATAGAAAATTAGAATGAAATAAAAAATAAAAAATAAAATACAAACAAATATTATAAATAAAAACAGAAATTAAAATAAAATTTAAATTAAATTAAAAATATATTTTAAAAAATGAAAGTAGCAGCCTTGGGGTGACAACGTCCCTGAGCAGCTTCTCCAGTGGCTCCAGGGCAGGCAGAGCCCACTGACCCGGCCTGGGAGAGCTCCAAATCCAGAGCCTCCCTCCAGTCCCACCCTGGATCCCACCACCTGTGCCCCCCAGTCCGACCCCCCAGCCCTCCCAGTAAGCCCCAGTGCTACCCACCCAGCACAGCCAGTCCTGACCCCCCCAGTTCCCGCCCAGTTCTCCCAGACCTTCACCCCTTTCCCGGCCTGGATTCTCCAGCACCCCCAGTTCCCCCAGTCCCTCCTCGCCCAGTACTCCAAGTGCTGTCCTGATTATCCAGTGCCTCCAGTCCTGCACCCCCAGGGCACCCAGTTCTCCCA